ACGATTTTGAAGCACTTTTTAAAAGAAGGTTTAAGTAGAAAATTACTAGCACCAAAATTGCGACAATCTTCTGACAAATCACTGTCGTAGCCTGGATGCACCCACTCCAATACGATTTACAATCTTCAGCTGCAAAAGACAATAGTATTACGCATGCAGCCGCGGCACGAAGCAACCTGGAGGCAGCCATTACAATTCGATCTGCGGAGACTGAGTTGCAAAGCACAATGAACTACGCGCAACGACGTCGAAATTGCACCTCCAAAACCGGATCTCGACGCCACAGCAGAAAAAAAGACGATTTGCAAGCACTTTGAAAAAGGATTTGTACAAGGAAAATTGCTAGCACCAAAATTGCGAAAATCTGCTGACAAATCACTGTCGCAGCCTGGATGCAGCCACTCCAATACGATTTACGAGATCCAGCTGCAAAAGACAATAGTATTACGTAGGCAGCCGCGGCACCAAGCAACCTTGACGCAGCCATAACCATGCGTTTCGCAGCATGCCGTCGCAAACCTACACGCATCTACACACATAACAACATCAGATGACAACAGTCATGCAGCCATTCCAATGCGATCTTTTCGCACAGATTCCAAAACACCCTATGACTACGCACACACAAGCACACCCAAAGCAGCTTGAAGCCACCATTACACTGCGGCAAAAAAAAAAACCGACCAACCGACCCCAGCCGCAACCGCCGCACAGACGAGGTACCTTTCATCGTCGCCTGCAGCCACTTTACACGGAAAAACACAAGGTTTCGTGCTCCGGCTTCCTCCCCAAAACATAGCCCATGCAACATCATGCAGCCATTACAATGCGGTTCGCAGCATCAACTCGCAAACCTGCACCTATCTACGCACAGAACAACACAAGAACACCAGATGACAAGAGTCATGCAGCCATTCCAATGCGATCTGCAAGCACAGATTCCAAAACACCCTATAACTACGCACACACACACAATCACACCCAAAGCAGCTTGAAGCCACCGTTACACTGCGGCAAAAAAAAAGGCAAACCGACCCCAGCCGCAACCGCCGCACAGACGAGGTACCTTTCATCGCCGGCTGCAGCCACTTTACACGGAAAAACACAAGGTTTCGTGCTCCGGCTTCCTCCCCAACTCACCACTTCCCTTCCTCACCACTTCCCATCGTCACCACTTCCCATCGTCACCACCTCCCTTCGTCACCGCTTCCCTTCCTCACTACTTCCCTTCCTCACCACTTCCCTTCGTCACCACTTCCCTTCGTCACCACTTCCCTTCGTCACCACTTCCCTGCCTCACCACTTCCCTTCGTCACCACTTCCCTTCGTCACCACTTCCCTTCGTCACCACTTCCCCTCGTCACCACTTCCCTTCCTCACCACTTCCCTTCGTCACCACTTCCCTTCCTCACCACTTCCCCTCGTCACCACTTCCCTTCGTCAACACTTCCCAAAGTCACCACTTCCCCTCGTCACCACTTCCCTTCCTCACCACTTCCCTTCGTCACCACTTCCCTTCGTCACCACTTCCCTTCGTCACCACTTCCCTTCGTCACCACTTCCCTTCGTCACCACCCGTCATTAATTGCTTCTTATTCTTTTGTTATGTATTGTTATGTGATCTACCACCCTGCATCATTTCAAATCGTTGGCTTCTATTTGTCCGTAACACGGAAGTATTGCTTCCCAACTTCCTTTGATAAATGGATTTTTGTTCATTAACTCAAACACATATAATGTTTGATGATAAATGGCAATCTGAGGCACCAAGAAATGAAGTAGGATGTAGAATCGTGTGATCTACAATGGGATTTTAGTGACCAAGTATAGTGGGAGTGATTCGACTTGATCAACGATGGCAGCCTTGTGACCGGATGACACATTAAACATGGGGATTTGACCATAAAATTTGGAGCTATGAACCACTAAAATGACAACAATGGAGCAATTGAGCAGCAATAATGATTACGAAATATCACGAAGAGGTATTACCAAGCAATATACGTTTCATTGGCGGAAGGGTATAATGTCAACTCCTGAATTTGAGTCACCTGAACATGTGTTTTAATTGGGGAGTGCCATTTTGGTGGCAAATAAGTAGTCACTTTCTGGGGGTGAAGCCCACCAGGGGGCTGAATCACAATCCACCTGTGAATTGGTTGTGTTTTTTAAATCCCTGTTATTGGGGTATTTTTGGTGGGATTTCAATTTCCATGATATTGGGTCTGTGTCTAGCCCCACAAAACTACAAATCTACGAGCTTTTAAAAATTATATAAAGATTAAATAATATATAAGTATACGTCCACAACATATAAATCTTTAGTTTCAATGTCTGACCTCAAATACTGCTCTTGCAAAAACAGGGATTCTAGAATTTTACCAACAAACAATGGGTTTTAACCAAGCATAAATGGAGGTTATGTAACCAATTTATAATTTGAGTTAGTACAAAAATATCGTATTTTCCAGGTCATTTTATGTAGGAGATACAATACTTTTGCATTGGTTTCAGAAGATAAATTACAGTTTTCATGCCAAACGAAACACATTTAAAACCTCCATCATCATTTTACGTGCCAAATATAATATATCAACCGTATCTCCTCATTTTAAATTCCCACTCCGCCCTTTCCACTTCACACTCCACACTTTACATTCCACACTTTACACTCTACACTCCACACTCTACACTTTACACTCCACACTTTACACTCCACACTCTACACTCCACACTCCACACTTCACACTCCACACTCTAATTACACTCCACACTTCACCCTCTACACTTTACACTCCACACTCTACACTTTACACTCCACACTTCAAACTCCACACTCTACACTGTACACTCCACACTCTGCCGCACTTTACACCCCACATCTCCTTGTGAATTAAGTAAAAATGTTAGTATGAACAATTTTATAGTAATAAACCCAGAAATATTAACCCTCTTTTTAAAAATATATCTGTAAAATCAGAGACACCAGGGTATTTTCAAATCAACAATCTCTATTATTGTATAAACATCATTTTCTATAGAATAGCTAATACCAAATCACTCTCGTAAAGCCTTTTGTAAGTTCGGAGTGGTTAATTAGTCTTCTATAAAATCAAATTCCCTAAATTTCATTTATTTACAGTTAACCTAAATATTCCAATTACGTTTACTCCAAATTTTCAGTGTCAATTTGTTTTTAATATAAAAGCTTTATAAAATCGCTAACACCAAGATCCTTTATAAAATTGCAAATGTTAATACTAAGTAAGTACCCCTAAATAAAAAAAGGTACCGTATTCCCAAGCTTAGTTCATATAACTTTATAAAGAAAATTTAAAGAAAAATCATTCCACATTCCATATTCACACTTTATATTTTATATTTTGCACTCTACACTTTACACTCCACACTCCTCATTCCCCACTTTGCACTTTACACTCCACATTTTACACACTCCACACTCAACACTTTACACTTTACACTCCACACTTTACACACTCCACACTCAACACTTTACACTTTACACTCCGCACTTTACACTCCACACCCTACACTCTACACTCCACACTTTACACTCCACACTCCACACTCTACACTTTACACTCCACACTCTACACTCCACACTCTACACACGACACTCCCCACTCCCCACTTTACACTTTACACTCCACACTTTACAGTCTACACTCCACACTCTACACTTTACACTCCACACTTTACAGTCTACACTCCACACTTTACACTCCACATTCTACACTTTACACTCTACACTTTGCACTCTACACTTTACACTCTACACTCCACACTTTACACTTTACACTCCTCACTCCACACTTTACACTCCACACTTTACAGTCTACACTCCACACCCTACACTCTACACTCCACACTTTACATTCCACACTCCACACTCTACACTTTACACTCCACACTCTACACTCCACACTCTACACACGACACTCCCCACTCCCCACTTTACACTTCACACTCCACACTTTACAGTCTACACTCCACACTTTACACTCCACATTCTACACTTTACACTCTACACTTTGCACTCTACACTTTACACTCTACACTCCACACTTTACACTTTACACTCCTCACTCCACACTTTACACTCCACACTTTGCACTCTACACTCTACACTTTAGACTCTACACTCCACACTCCACATTTTGCATTCCACCCTCTTCCGCATTCCACAGTCTACAGTGCGCTGGTACGGTAACAGGGGAAAAATGTAGAATGTTCAAATAACTTTTTTTCACAAAAGTGTTCTACGTGATTGCGTTCGGGTTCGTGGGCTGCATCTTGTTAAAATATTTATGCATAGTATATATATATATACTATATATATATTATATAAAGAAATTTATATATAGCCTATATTTTTATATAAAAAATAAAAATAAAGATCAATATTTAAAAATAAATAAATAAATATATGTGTATATATTATATATATTATTGAATTTAATACTTGAAAAAAATATTCTGTTCAATACCTTTAATTGATTATATATATATATATATTAAAAAATAGTAATTACATAATTATAGAATTATTATTTAAATATATTAGAAATAATTTGATTATATATATATATGTTAACATTATATACATAATATATATAATTTATATATATAATTAAAATATTTAGTTATATGATTTAATATTTAATTATATAATTTAATACTTAATTATATAATTTAATATTTAATTATGTAATTTAATATTTAACTATAAAATTTAATATTATAATCTAATATTTAATTATATAAATTAATTTCATAATATTATTTTAATTTATTTTTAATTTTAATTATATTTTAAAGTTATAATTTAATTTTAATTCAAATTTTTAAGTGGTGTTTATTTTGTAATCGAAATGATAATATCATACTTTAGATAATAGCTAGGAAGATTCCAATTTTTTTTATGAATTATTTATTCTACATATAAATTTTATCTAAAATTTAGAAAATATATCGCTTTTAAATTAATCAATTCTATTTTTATTTATATGTTTCTATTAAAATAATATTCCCATGAATTGAGCTTTTGTGTACCTGTTTAACCCAGCTTGCCTGTTTCATATTTAAGCCTGGACTGACGTGTTAGCTGGGTTCTCGCGCATAGGTAATGTGGCAAGTTTTGTGGGAGTGTCATGCGGGCTTGTGGAACGTGAAACAAAGTACAGGGGCACTTCTCCGCCAATTCTGGCCAATGCACCACGAAGACATCGGCAAATGGATAAACAAGTTTGCCGCTCATTGACCTGCCAGCAACCATCCCAAAAAAAGAACACGGCATTGCATCAATGAAGAATCATAAGCATCTTGCAGCCATGTCACAGGGTCTTGACTCTGCAAATACTTTCAACCTTGCAAACATTTGAAATCAAGCTTGCTTGAGATGTCAGAGTGTCAAAGCTCCGGACAAAGATCAAAGAGATGCATCTGAAGGCAATCAGCTCAAACAGCAATGCTGCGCCCACCACCTGGATCAAGACAGAAACTGTGTCCCCATTGCAAAACTATTCAAACATATTCAGGCTATTAAAGCATATTAACACCAATCAAGCTCAATCAATAGATTTCTCTGCGTGCAGGAAGAAAAGCACAATTCCACAGCTATGGCGCATACTGGGGCACATGTGCCAGGACCATTCACAAGTAGAACCTGCACTCTCACTTTCAAAATTTTTCAAACAGGCACTCCCATGCACGATGCATTGACAAAATTGAAATGTCTTAAAAGTATGTCGTTTGCCCTGAAGGGATTTCAAGGCTTGCAGTTTTTGCTGAAAAGATGCAAAATTATTCCGCCTGTGGTTGAAGCTCCCACACCAGTCGAATGCAGGCTAGAAAGGCCTCCCAAGCTTCGAAATGCAAGTGCTTTGTGTCAATTACGCGCAGTTTGAGCGCACAAGTTGTTGGTTGCAGAATGTTGTAGAGCCTTGGCAGTGGTCATGACGGATGATGGCCAAGATTGCCCAACCTGCGAATGAGCTTAGAAAGATGTTATATAAAAGCCTGAAGAAGGAGGAATTGGAACTGTCTGACGAGACGCCAACTGTTGAATTAATTGCTAATCTCGCCCCAGCCTCCCTGCTTCGGGGAATCACGTGAAACCGATCCAAGTCTTTCGCAAGATCTGGGCAAGTTGCCTGGACCTCAGTCATCTCAATCAAAATTTCAGACTCAATCCTAACACATTTCTGCATAGCTATGCATAGCTCGTTACTGTCCGGCCTTCTTCAAGGAACTTGTATCGGTTTCGGCCAAGATAAAGTCACAAATGTACCTGGCAAGGCTTGCAAAATTTGCAAAATATATGTTGGCATACATTAACAAAGTATACAGCACCAACAGTACCATCAAGTTCACAAACAAAAAGCAACTGTGGTCAATTTACCACACACATGTGCATACATGGTCAATTTGTGGCCAATCGCTCGCACCTCTCCTGATTTAGGTCTTTGATCAACGCCAACATTTCCTCTCAGGCTTTGAGAGGTGATTGAATTGTAAGAATCTGTAAAGCTTATTAAAGCTTTGTGTGACTGTCTTTGCATATCTAAGCACTGCAAGTTGCGAGACTTTCCAAGACTGTCCATCGTGTGACCACCAGATCCCAGCACAACTGTAGTTCTCAGTGGCAAAGGCCTCCGCTCTGCGCTGCTCAAAAAGTGCTTTGAAATTAATTAGGAGCGTCACCAGAATGTTGAGTCATAAGAAAATTGATCCCTGCTAAACTGGGGCAAAGACCAACTGGCCCACGTTCGCCTAGCGCAGGCTTGAATGGGATCAAACTGTCTCCAGGGTCGATATATGTTTTCCCGTTCTAGCCTTGCCTACTATCATGCAAATGATGCAACAGAGCACATTTGTTTGCGCGCCTTGGCTTGTTTTGCGAGGTGGAAATACGCGACAACATCCACCTTGTGAATTCTCTCCCTTGTGAATTCTCTCAGAGTCTCCAGGTGTCAAAGTTCTGTGTGCCACTAAGGGTTCCCACAATACAGGGACCCGACAAAGTCATGCCCAAGTCACTCCTTTCGCTTTCCCCGCTTGTGAACGCAACATCAAGAAGTCATGCCTAAGTCATGCCTTTTGGTCTTCCCCCATTGTGAACGCAAGCGTCAAAATAGCCCTTTCCAAATCGGAACCTTTCACTTTCGCTTCTTTTTTTCTTCCCTGCCCTTGCGATTCAATATTTCTTATTTGCCCACTTTCTTCCCCAAACAGGTTTATCATCTGTATGGGGTTCTCAGTAAGAATTCTGTAAATAAATAGATACTGGGTAGCTATGGCCCCCTTACACAGAAAGAGGCCAAGGCAGTTTGTAAGTTCTTACTCCTTTGAAAGGGTTGCAGTCCTGGGTCGCATTATTTTGCTTCTGTCTCCGGGCTTGCATTCCTGGCATGCTCTCCGACTACGGTCTGGGTGCTCTGGGCCGCCTGGTTATACAATGCTTGAGTTTGCTTGCGTTTTGCAAAAAGGCACGACTTTCAGGGAAAGCTTCGACGCAACTAAATATAGTCATTTCTTAAAAAAAGGAACGGCTTTGTCTTTTGGCTGTAGTTCGCACTGTGCGGAGAAACACAATTTCACAACGACTGCTACTATACAGAGATGACGTGTGTCTGCAGTACGATGGAATGACGGAAATCGTGGTCGAGATGGGCTCTTTGAAAGTAACACGCAAATGACCAAGCCATCTTGGTTTTCCCTTGGAATTTGGGAGCAGTGGCATACATGCTTCAGATTGCTCAAGGAATGTAGTCTCTCTTTGTCCCCGTATCACTTGGCACTTCCATGTACTTCCTGGTATGCCTTAGACTTGGACCAGCTGAATTGTTACTCATTTAATTTAGTCTTGGTACATCTTGATCACTTTGATACAGCCTGCTTTCATATGGTCCCTGTTTCACGAATCTCGCCCAATCTCCCGCTAAAAGTTGGTTGCAGTCGCTGCAAGTAGGCAGATTCCTTAACCAAGCTGAGTGGAGCACCAAACACATCGCAGCAACACCAGCACCAACGCTGAAACAACCAGTCCCATCATTGGAGACAACTGATGTGACAATCGGGGTAGATCTGAGTACTGTAGCTCTTTGGATCTGAGAGCTCCTAGTCAAGAAGCGAAGGAGGAAAACGATTAATTAAATAAACACAATATGTTGTGGCGAAGGGCTGCACTAGTGAACTAGTAAATCTAGTAAGGCATGATTTCTGGCTGGTGCACTCTGTTTGATTCTGTCTCTGGTCTATTGATCTACGGAGCAAGTTGATGCAGTGAGTGCATAAAGGACCAAGGAATCCATCCTTTTGGTGTTTCTCCAAGATCATGAGTCCAGCTCTGAAGGGTCTATACCATGCTGGTGCTTTGGATATTGGTTGATACCGTCTCCAGCGATTGCAAATCTGCTATGTACATCGAATCTAAGGCAAGAAGCGACGGCAAGTTGGGCAAGGTATCTGATCCAATACTCAAGTTTATCACTTGATATCACTTGAATGCGTATTCAGAGCTGTTGCAACTTCTGTGTGTCCACTCGGTCCAGACCTTCTGTTTGGCACTGTGTAGCTGCAAAATGAAAAGTCTAGGGTGCACAGACAAGTCATGTGCAAAGTGTACAAAAATCGGTGAGAGCTTTGCGACTCTGCGCATATAGCATGGTTGTGAGACAGGAATGGCTACTGCTGCGCCATGTCAAAGCTCTGTATGCTTTCAAACGACTGGAACTCGCTCCAATCATTGGTGCTTGCAAAAACAACATTCACCACACATACAAACACTCCTTCAGCATGATCTCACATGCTGTATACGTGCAATAAAGTATCAGCATCCCTTGACACGGGAGCAAACTGCAGCAAGCTTTAAAAAAGCTTCCAGCATCGATTCTAAGCTACAGTATGTACTTGTAAGACGACGCGTCTCTGAATAAGCCAAAGCCAGCCAAAGCTTAAGCTAAAGCCTTGCTCATTCAGCTAAAAAAAGGAAGCTCTGGAGTTTGAAGCAAATTCATTCTCGCTTCCTCCATGTCACTCGAAAAAGAATTTGTTGACGGTTGAACTTGACTCTGGATTAAAGTACAAGCTCATACAAGATATACAAGCAAATCAGCTTTCAGCTGGGTTAACTGTCTCTTGCTCGGGGGAGCCTTGACAAGTCAAATGCTCGATTCCCACGTCCACTGCTGTTGCGCATTGCTTCAAGTTGTTTTACGTTACGCAACGTTTGCATTGTTCCGATTTGTTCAGTGTGCACTGTCACCCTCGTAAGTACCTACATGTGATGCATCTTGTCACGTTGTGGGTACATAAACGAGTAAACAAAGATGCAAAGTCTTGCCTGTTGGAATCTCGACTTCTTTCGAGAGGGATGGCACTGTCTCTTTGGCCTGTACAACTTTGATCTCAAATGAACTGTGGGTCTCAGCAAAGCCAGCTCAAATCTCAAGGATTCCAAGATATTCCAAGTTCAAAGGGTCAAAGGGTTCGTTTTGGGATACTTTTGGTCGATGAATATGAGCAACTAGTACTTGGACAAGAATGACCACGCCTCTTGGCCTGGAGCAGATGGTGCCTCTGTCTTACCTGTCGCAGTCTCAGCATGCACCTTGGCCGAGGGGAAAAGGCCAACCAGTTTAAATGTATATATATATACGATTATAAACATGCATAGAAAATGCATCTTCAATATTCTTCAATGTTCTTCAATTACAATTTCTTCACTGCCTTCTGACAATTCATGAAAATTCCGCCAATGCAATATATTGCAATACCATCATTGCAGTCAAATGACTGCGCCATCAGCATTCTCATCAGATGCTTGGAACTGCCCCTTTGCTTCACCGCTGGTGGACTGTGGAATCTGTGATTCCTCCTTTGGCAGGTCAGATGTACTGGCCTCGGTTGCCTCCTGTTGGGCTTCAAGTGTACCATGACTTTCGGTGGGTGCTTGACCTGTCCCTGTCGTGCCAGTCGTTGGACTGGGAACTTCTGTGGGCGAGGCATCGACCGCAGTCTTCCAATTTTCCTCCTGTCCTTCATCAAGAGCAGCTGGTTCAGAACCTGGGACCAAAAGACTATGTGTTGCATGCAATACAATACCGAGAGGGAAAAGTATGAAAAAGTAACCGCAATTGCATCTGAAAAAGAGAATGAGAGAAGAGAGACTTGCACGCACTGAGTGGGAGAGAGACAGCAACACTATTGGCCTTGGAAGCTGTTGGGATCAACTTGAGCCTGCAGCAGTTGGAAAACTTGACCCGCGGGCCAAAGCCGCAATGCAACATGTTGTCAAAGTGCCTCGTGGACACTTTCATCCCAACCACGACTTCTTACATTCCTCAGCAGATGAAGCTGCTAAATGCTGCTATGATTCTGCAACGTTTCATTCCCTTAAGCTGTTGCAACAAGAGGAGCCAAACTTGTCCAGAAGCTGGCTGGCCTATGTATACTATTTCTTGGGACCCTACCCACCCTGTCGTCTTGGCGATAGGAGGACCTTGTGCCTCGCAGTGGTTCTGCCCAAATTCTCAAAAAGCATCAACAAATTGAGTTTATCAAGAACCACGAGAATTTCTGAGAATCATTGATCATGAACATCTGGAATATTCTGGGATGTCAAGAAAGAGTTTTGAGGGCAAACATGTCCAAGCCTTGCGCGCACGCTTCCAGTGGCAAAACTGCCAGAAACAATAACATCTTTAGCTTCGTCGTCAAGCCGCGTGGCACCTCTGCACACCCAGAAGATCTGCAACTGATGATGTTTGTGCAAGAGGCACCACAAATATTTCTATATGTAATGTTGAGATTTGTTGACTTCACTTTCAATCATTATCTCCTACTGCCTGATCTTTCAGCGTTGAAAAGAACCTTTCACGATCAATAAAGTCCAAGCCATGGACGCACTGAAGAGCCTGCTGGACGGCGATCCTGAAGAATTTACAAGAATATCTGGAACTGTCATGAATATCTAATTATATCTGGATATATATATATATAGATACAATAATATGTATATATACAATTATACGTATATATATATATAATTATATGGCATCTGAAGATTCGACTCCTGTAGCCCATCTTTCAGCCATTGTTCGCTACATCTCTTCGTCTATCTTCACGTCTCTGGCATCTCAAGATTGGCAAGACTTTCGAGTTCTTTTGGAGTAGTCCAAACTGCGAATTCAAGCAAATTATCTACTATCATCTCTACTGAACAAAAAGCAGTTGCTAGATACAAATTTGGAAGGTGAATCATGCCACTGCGCAAAATGTCATTCCTGTGATAAACCCAGCGGCAAAAGTCAACAGGTCAAAGCTCGGCAGCATCAGAATGGCCGTCCTCACCAGCGGAATGTGTCATCTCCGCGCTGTTGTCGAACCTTCGGGCGCGTGGGGTCTGGAGGCGCGGGCACTGCGGGCACTGCACCGAGAAAGTGTTGGAAAATGCTGAAAGGACCTGAAAGGACCTGAAAGGACCTGAAAGGACCTGAAAGGACCTGAAAGGACCTGAAAGGGGCAATGCTTTGCACAAAATGCTTTGCACAAAGACTCAAAATCGTGCGCGCCTACGTAGATGCTCATTGATGGCATCTGGCCTCATATACCTGCACATGTTGAAGCCCTTCAATGGGATCTGATACGTTTCATGCATTGTGTCAAGGACATTGCACCCTACAGTACATTATGTTATCTTTTGAAGACCGTAGCCGGTAAAACCTACAGTTGTTTCAGTGGCATTAGTGGCGAAGAAACACGGACACAGTCCAGAGTCCAGCACATATAGCACATCAACTTGTGACACGTGCGCTTCAAATGTTGTTCTGTGAGGAACTGATGTTGCAGGCCTGTTGACTCTTTCCCGCCGGGCAGATGCCAATTGCTCCTGAACCAATGAAGAAATGACCTTCATTTGGCTCGAACAGATTCAGTCTTTCTTGCTCGGGTCCCTCTCGACTCTCTACATTTGTTCGAGCATTCTTGGTTGTCTGTACATCTGCACCCGATTAGACTCTGCTCTCCTGCTCAACGGCTGCGATCTCCTCACTGCAGGATGACTTCTAAGCCAACCCTGAAGAATCTGATGCAAATCCTGAAACACATTGAATACTTATATTATACACTTCTATTATATGTATATACATATATAATTACATACAATTACATATACATGTTGTTGCACAGTCTGAATACAATGCGGCCGGCTTGCTGTGCAAAAATGTCATCTGGCACACTGCACGGGAATAGGAAGTTCCTGTCACTTCCTGTCACTTCCTGTCACTTCCTGTCACTTCCTGTCACTTCCTGTCACTTCCTGTCACTTCCTGTCACTTCCTGTCACTTCCTGTCACTTCCTGTCCTTCTCCGCCTTCTCTCGGCGATGTAGCTCAGCAGCTTTACGCGCAAGCTCTCGACGGTAAGCCTTCCCAGACTTTGACGGTGCGTGATTGCTTGACTTTTGCACGGTGCACTCAGTGTATACTGTGCGCCGACTATGGACAAGACATGACAAGACTACATCTTAGTGCGATATATTTTGGTGACTATGGTACATATACGTAGTACATACATGGAAATTATATTAAATTCTGATACAAGGCTAAACGGCACAAACTGTATTCAGCTAAACCATGCCACGCCTCCACCTGCGGCATTGATTTCTGCATTCGCTCTTGGCGCTCCTGGTGTCACTCTCCCGTGGTACATCGTGCCATCGCTTTCACAGCTTTCATGTCACCTTTGTTTCTCCGGGTCCCAGCAAAACTAATTTGCATTGTTTGCGTGTCTATGCTTGCACCCACATGGGACAAATATCTGCTTTCGCGTCCAAACCAAATGCCTAGGCCCTAGGAGACTGTCTTTCAGAAGCATCTTTAACAGTGGTCAGTGGACTGAGCGTTCTTTTTGGATATCACCTGAATTCAAAAGACACCTTAGAGCCAAACTGTTTGAACCAAGCTGGTTGTCTGTGAGACTTTCCGCTTACTTCCGCATTGTGCCGTCCTTCTCCTCTAAAACGCGGAGCTCCTCCTCTTCTTTCGCCTTCCTGACAGAGATCATCCGCAAAACTCAGTGGTGGTTTGCTCTGTTTGGTCATTTTGCATGTGTGTATATGTGCTGAGGTCTCGTAGATAAACGAACAGAAAGGGCAAAAAACAGTAACTTGGAAATCAGCTGAAAAATCAGATATATCATGATATATCTGCAACATTCTGCAGTAAAATTTTGCGGCCTTCGTTTCTGCCGCATGTGTTGTCGAACTCGCTGCTGGGCGTCATGATGAGGCGTGTAACTGTTCTGCTCCTGGTTGCGAATTCAAATTGCTATCTTCCAATATCTTTCGATCTCACAATGAGTTCCAACATGTAACATGTTCCAAACAGGCACCAGAATTTCAGAATATTCACAGAACGAAGTGCTCTTGCATATCTCAACTGGCACCCTGCTGCATGTAGCAGTTTCTCATCATAATTTCGTTGCTGCTCCTCTGGCAAGCGTCTCTGCCGCATTGGCGATGGCGAACGGCCCTGCATGTTGCGGCATTGCGGCTGGACTTCCAAATAGTTGAAAGACACAATTTCTTCATCATAGACAAACTATATCAAACTATCTTATGGATCCATGTATACCAGGCACCTGCAAATATGTTTATATATAATTGTTGTACATACGTATTAATTAGATCGTATTACAGTAGTATATTTAGTACAGTATCCTTATGATATGTTATACTATATACTATATATATACATAAGAAGGACCAGTTGCCTGTGAGGTCCTAATTTTTCCTCTCCACGATCACAGGATACAAGTGTTGCACGTCGCAGCTGCATTTGCAAGCCAGCATAGCCACCAGCTACACTACATGAATCTGTCTTCACTGTCCTAGTGCTAGCAATATTATGCTGTGTGTGTGGTAGGACAGCTTGGCAGACACCAAGTATATTCCTAGATGGCAGAGGTCTCCATGAAACGAAACTCTGTAAGGCTCATAACTTCCCTGCCACAGTTGAAGAGGGACCAGACATTGCAGGTGAAGCTTTATTATATATATATATTGTTAACATGCACATAATTATGTATGTACATGTATAATCATGCTATTGCATATTATCTATTATGTAATCAATCACTTCACCATTCAGATGGCTCACACATCCGGATCAAAGTGCTTGGCAAAGCTATAGCCTTGTCTCGGACAGGCCGCACCATACCTCTACCACGTCGCACCTGCGCAACCAAAGCATCGCCAATCATCAAAACATGACCAGCCAGCATGCCAGAGCAGCATAGTGATATTTAAAGCTTAAAGTTGAGGATTCTGCTTTTTATCGCTATCTCACTCTGGCTCCAAGCTCTACGCAAACACATAATCCTTGTGATTGGCAAGGCACATCGGAATCGGAGTTCAAAGGACTGCGCGGGGACGAATGGAAATGATGTCCTCAGCTGTGGTGAACTTTGCAACAAACAGATCACGCATGCACGGACTACATAGGAAACATTTGTGCTTGTCATACTTGCTCCATCTTACAGTATCTTTTTTTAAATGTTATTGGTGCTGCTTGATTCTTGAGCTCGCTGCCGTGCTTCACTCTCTGTTCATCCCTGCTAGTCACCTGGCGTGAGGCTTGAGTGGCTCTGATCATTCTCTGCAACTGGACGGATCCTGCCTGGCGCAACAATCGCAGGCGTGGGAGAGCAACCACGGCCTAGCGAATGTCTTCATTGTCCATTCAAGCATGAATCTAGCGAACAACAAGTAGCAAACATACAAGACAGAGTGAGTGACAAAATGCAGCAAGTGCCGACAGAGCCAAGTAACAAAGGAGTGAACGGCTCCCTAAAACTAAAGAAGGTGCAAAGCACCCAAGCATGCTACGACGTCAAACACAACCTGTTTTCTTTGCACCTCGCTGACATTGGCCCTCAATGAGTCCTACATGTGCTCTAACACTCATGTCATATTTCACCATGTCCAAGACATTTGTTTAGACCGTGAGGTATGCGGCCAAAAGCACAAGGGCCAAAGCACATGAGTCCTTATCTGGTGCACCTCTACCACCGTGCAAGTCCAATTTTGGCAACATGTCCTGAGTTGAAGTTCTTGATTGCATTGATTTAATATGAATCAATTTCATTTATCCAGATGTATCATGATGTATCTAGTCTATTCGAGTCTGTGACTTGCTAATTTCACCTAAAAAACTGCATGGCTCCGGTAGACAATCAAAACAAAACGCGCCAGACCACCAAGGCATGGACCCTCGAAATCCTCGAAGATCAATGAGACAAGTGCCATTAGCTTCGGCGTGGCCAATAGTTGAAGGACTTGCAGGCCATCCCTTGACAAAGTTGAAGTAGTCTGAAGACTCTGAAGACTCTGAAGTATCGGTACAAGATGGTACAAGATGCTTACGGGTCCTACAGTAAACTGTCCTGGAGTTTGCATGTGTTCCTGCCTGTAGAATTGAACATGTAATATATCCCAAAAGCCATCAAATGCCCGAGATCCGTTTAGCTTCAATTTGTTGAGGTGAGTGGCGCTATCCAAAAAAGCCTTGCGCCATCCTGCACAAGCAAGTGTACTTGGTAGGCTGTGATGTTTCTTGTACCGATAAGTCATAGCTTGAAAGCCAGCATGGCACTTGCAATGCAGTGCTTCACAAGCAAACCCATGACTCATCCATGCAGCCATGCACTTCAAATAACGTATCAAGGGCTCTCCAAAGTGCAGGAGGCGGATGGCCACTGGCCGGTATGCATGGCGTGGCATAGCGAATCAATTTTCAACACCGACGCTGCCTAGTGAAAGATCAGCTTTGCTTCACCCACTTATTGAGTGACAACTGGAACTAGACGACTCTCCACACATGGAATAGTCCAGCAAATAGACAATTTATAATAATTTGACGTGGAACTTCACTAGTTGTATTCTTTCTGAGTCTTACTGGAAGATGCTGAAAGAAACAGGCAGCTTTCTGCCCGTGCTCCAGTAATACTAAGTCAGCTCAGCGGGATTTGGGCACCGAAGTACTCCATCCGGTTAACTGCAGTGGAACACTGAGATCCAATCAGTTAATGCCATTGAGATCCATTGAGTGTAAAATATTCACTCGATACACTGACCATCAGTTTAGGCTGCAATAGCCTCAAATTTGAACCATGTGACCACAAAGGTCTCGGGCAGCGACCCTAGACTAACCAAGTCCTGAGACCTCATGGTCCAGAACTTGGACAAAATCAGCAGTTGCACGAAGACTCACCCCATGAGTCAACACGAGCTGTAAGCTCCAACATGCTGCAAATGTGAAAATCATATTAAGTCATTCCATTTCTATCCACGTCTCATTCTGATGCCTTGCTTTTGGCAGTCGCTTCCCGTCGTGCTGTCCACCTGAGTTCAAAGCCATGAGATACATTCACTGGGCCAGGGGTATCGTCTCGATTCAGGTCAATTCATTTCAAGGTCACAGCTGAATCTTACAGGCACAATGCACCCAAGGTGGATGTTGGAATTCTGAACAGATGTCAGAATGATTATGGCTTCGCCCCTGGTCTGAAAAGATGCATTTCAGCAGTCCTGTAGTGCTGTCACCCTATTGACATGGGCTCTGTTGAGAACAACACTGTGGGTCAGTAGCAAGACTTGCTCTACAGTCTACAGATGTCTACAGGAGTATGAAAATATATGAAAATGAGCTGGTTCGTGAAAATAGATGAAAAATGATGAAAATAGTACAGTTGTGAGTAGGTCAGAACTTCGCAATGGAGGCTCATGGAAGGGGAGAGAGAAGACAACCATTGAAAGTCAATGCCTTCTGAGAATAAACATCGAAATAACATGAGAGGAATTGATCTTTATACATACAGAAAAATACATATTGCATATTGTATATGTATTATATGTACGCTAGTTAGTTCGTTCGTTAGTTAGTTAGCTAGTGAGTTACCTAGTTAACTAGTTAGTTTGTTGGTTAATTATTTAATTAGTTCGTTAGTCAGTTAGTTCGTTAGTTAGTTAGTTAGTCAGTTAGTTAGTTAGTCAGTTAGTTAATGTGTTTGTTGGTTTGTTAGATAGTTAGTCAGTCAGTCGGTCCGTCAGTCAGTCAGTTTGTTAGTTAGTTTGTTTGTTTGTTAGCTAGCTAGTCAGTTACTCTGTTAGTCAGTCAGTCAGTCAGTCAGTCAGTCACTTAGTTAGTTGGTTGGTTGGTTGGTTAGTTAGTTAGTTAGCTAGCTAGTTAATCAGTTAGGTAGGTAGGTAGGTAGTTAGTTAGTTATACAAGCTATACTGTTCTTAGATGTTCTTAGTATTCCAGCATATTCAAACGTCAAATCACATTAATTATACAGTAAGACAATGTAAGATATGTCAGACATAGCTTGCGCACTGCTTGGGTGGAGCTACTCTGAGGACGAGGGGCTTCAACACAAGCGAGGAAGCATGCCAAGCAACGCTTCCATGCACCTATCGGGATCAGGTGACCCCCTGGAGGAATGTGGGATCTTCAAAAAGCAAACGAAAAAGCAAAACAAGAAGCAGAAACACACACAAATTGGACACACAACTATGCTGGGCACACCAGCTTCAGGAAGCAAACAAAGAGCTGCAAAAAGTTGCAGGAAAATTCCAGCATCAAGAAGCCAAATATAAATGAGAATAAAGGGGAAATGTATGGAAATGTGTGAATTTCGGTGTATGTCATGAAACCGTGTCTTGTAGTTTTGGCTAGTTTTGGTCAGTTTTGGTGCCAATGAATTCGGCAGAAATTGAACATGACCGATTTCCAGCCACAACCGAAAAACGCTTGCGGTAATTGGCCACGAGCAGATTTTGATCTGAGAAACGATTGACTCCCACGGAAAACAACGTGTCAAGCTGCCTCGCCTCACGCCGCCACCACGCTTTGTTCAGCTCTCCAAGTAGTCTTGGCCAAAGCCAGGGCAAAAATGGGGGCATCGTTCGGCAGCAACATAAATTCTGCATATGTTTAGATCTCTGCCCACGTTCATGATGTTTCATGGGCAGGGTATACTTGTGCAATGTTGTGCATGGGCATGCTGCATGTTTGAAGCTTCAGTGCCACAGATCCTGCCTTCTTTGTCTGATCGCATCGATCCTGACAAAGCTGAGCCGTAACTCGAAGCGTTTCCAGGGCATTTTGCACATGCTGCAGTACGGTAGTAACATGTAGTAACACCATGTAACACATATGTAACACCGTAGTACATGCAGCTGCCTCTGTTTGTTTTCGAGCTTCACAAGCTCAACCAGAGTAGGCAGCGCCTGTCTCGCATTTCAATCTGTTCACATCTCTCAGCGGAAGAATTTGGACAGGGCAGTGCTCAGTGCAGCGCCTTCGGATGATCACTCCTTGCTTCAGACCGCACTGCCTAGCCCACATTGCAGCTCTTGGTCCTATCCCTGAGACAAGCTTGAAGGGCTGTTAAGTCTTCATCTGTCATTGCCATTGCCAAATAAATGTTCTTGCCACATGATATGCCAATTGCAGAACAGATTCTATATATATATATACATACAGATTACATCAGATTATTAGATAAGATTAGATAAGTATATGTATATATTATAGATTCATCGCAGCACTGTCAAAGGCTAAAATCAATGAATCCAATGGGAATGATCTGGAAAAGTCACGCCCAATCTTCTTCACACGCGGATCTGAAATTGAAGTAAATCCATGCTCAATGGATCTTCCGCCATGCAAATCCTTTGCAAATCGATGGCCTATGAACAACTCCCTTCTGACAGCTGTTTGTTGCGTCTCACCATGTCTCTTATGCCAACCCATCTGCCTGCAAGTCAGCACGCAGCTCCTCACAATGAATGTAAAATTTGATGTTCCAACAACATACTGTACAGCGCAGATAAACTGGCCAGAGCGCCAATTATGTCAAGAAATGTCAAGATATGTCAAGGATGTCTCCTCAATCCTCTGATTGAGTTGTCCCTCTGGCTGTGATGTCTTCTTCTTTGGACCTCCGCAATGCGTTCCACGGGTTGCTGCCTCTGAACCAAAACCCCTGAGTTCCAAGTGGCCGACGTTTTGGCTCCAACCGGGGTGGTGAAGATGTTGTGGTCGAGGAACTTGTACTGACAGATTGAAATTCAGAATGTTACAATCAACTCGTCGTGGAACAGAATGTTACATGTCATCACATATCATCACATATCCTTCAGCTTGCAGGCACATCTTGTCTGACCCACATTCAAACCCAAAACATGTTTATACTGACAAAGGACAATTCACATCTGCAAACAAACATGTCTGATCCACTGAAGTGGCTGACATGTTATATAATCAAAAAGCGGGATTTAAGCAACAAGTTGCAAAATGTCGTGCGGCATTGCACCTACTTGGCGATGACGATGTGCTGGACGAATCCAAGGAGTTCGAACGCACAGATTGCCTAACGAAATCAGAACCCTGTGCGTTATGAAACCAAAAATCATCAAAAATCTATGAACAAGAATGCCAGCACCCTCACCATCGTCATCGCTGTCAGCGTCATCATAGTATTGATCATTAGAAAAAATCGTCAGGAACATAGTCCATACTGGAGCTATTCATTCCTAGCCACTAGTCACGGTTCGCATCTTCATCATTGTCACCGCTATCACCATCATCGTCACCACCATCGTCACCACCATCGTCACCACACTCACGCTCGCACATTTGTGATGCAATCGTTCATTTGATTGGAAGTTTGTCTCATGATGTCTTGTGACAATTCTTGTGACAATTCTTGTGTTGCATCACAGCGGCCGTACAGGTGTGGAGACGGGTTCTGGAGATCTCCGCTTTTCCGGTTTGCTCCTTGCATGCCTGCGAGGTGCAGAAATTGGTTCTCTGAAAGGACGATCAAGCACCACAAGCATCACGGGGGCAATGGCCAAAGATATTTTAAGATTACTGGCAATACACTCCGCATCTATTCACTCTCACTCTCACTCTCTCACTGTACTCTCACTCTCTCACTCTCTCTCTCCCTCTCTCTCTCTCTCTCGCCCTCTCGCAGAAGAGTTTTTGTCCATCTGGCTCTAGCAACTGTGCATGTGCAATGCTTGCAGATTGCAGGGATTTGAGAGATCTCTCATTCTTCCAAAGTCTGTCAAACTTCGTTCATACACAGTAAGCTGAAAGAGCCGGGGAGCAGGTGTGTGCCCCACGTCTGGGGTCAATGTCTATCTATCAAGCCTGGCTGTGGGTGTTGAAGTGCGGTCCAGCACTGGATTTGTAGATGGCCTGAACATCAAGCAACTCCGATCAGTTTGGAGTTCCGCGCTGTGTCTTCATTCTGTTGCTTCACTACAAAGAGAGA